TGATCTCTGGCAGCCAAAGTATTAATCATCTGGTTCAGCTCTGGTGGAGTCTTAGTGAGAACATCCCTCCTGGGCATAGAGACTCAATCACCCTCTGGCTATCTGGAGAGAGGGTACTATAAAAGTTCCCCACTGTGAATGCATCACTGAAGCCATGATGGGGGCACTGCCAGAAATATCCCATGTACCTCTCTCATGCATCACGAAGTGACTCATCTGGCTCCTGGCGGAAGTGAGTGATCTCTCGCTGAATCTCTGTAGTCTTCGATGCCGGATAATACCTGTGCACGAACTTGTCCGCCAGATCGTCCCAAGAGGTGATGGACAATGGGGGCTGGGTCTCCAACCACCTCTTAGCATTCCCCGCCAGAGAATGGGGAAAGAGGTGAAGGCGGATTGCATCATCCGGGACACCATTCAGCTTGAACCCGTTCGTCAGCTGTAGAAAACGGGAGAGATGTACCCTGGCCTCCTCATCCTTCAAGCCATGGAACTGGATGGAAGATGTAATGAGCTGAATCCAGCATGGCTTGATCTCGAAGTTGTTTGCTGGGATAGGCGGGTAGAGGATGACCGGGCGGATGTCAGCAATCCGCGGAGTGTAGTAGTACTCCAAGGTGGGACCCGGCTGCGGTGGATGATGAACTCCATGATCCTGGGGTATGGGGTTGTTCCCCAAGACCTGATTCACCGGGGGAGCCTGCTGAGGATTCCCCTGGTGTTGATTGTAGTCTTCCATCTCGTACTCCTCCTCAGAATCACTGCTCACGTGGCCGTCTATGCGCTCTTCCGTAGCCAGTCTAGCTCGCTGTTGTCTCCTGAGCTGGCGACAGGTGCGGTCAATCTCTGGATTTAACGGCAGTAAACCTCCTGACTGGCTACGGGTCATGCACTACCTGCACACACTCAAGCAACAAACCCGTGAAGGCACAAGTGGAACAAAGCAAACAAAGCAAAAAGAAAAGCTAAATTAACAGAAATCACTTTTCTTCAACAACCTAGCCGTCCCCGGCAACGGCGCCAAAAACTTGACTCGACTCTACTGTCACTCCAGAAATTGGCCAAGTGAAACCACTTCCTAAAGTGTAGTATAGCGGGTTTGGGTTTAATTATCAACCCGGGTCCTAGATTTGATGACTACTCAGTGAGTTCTTGTTATCTAGCAACGAAACTGGAATGCAAGTCTAACTAACAAACTAACAAAGCAGGTAAACGGTTGTATTCAAGTTAAGAGAGGTCACCCGGATATGGTTCCCCCAGACTGCAGTTAAGCCGGATTGTAATTACCAAGTTCAGTTTCTATGATAGTTATACTGCGGAAGGTTCTCAAACAGCCTGAAGTCTCTACTAAAGGTCTTCAGACCCTCTCAATCTGACTCTCTAGCGGGCGACTAACCTCCACCGGAGTCGACAGATTGAGGCCCTAAGAACAAAACCTCCACTACCGGAGTAAATCCGGTACAGAATAGTGAGTTGGCTCCTCGACTAAAGTCACCAACTCCCTACCTTCAATCAAGGATACTCTATTAACCTAGGCAGATATTCTCATTCTAGGTTAAAGCAGAAACAACAGGAATTTGATCAGGATTCAAGTCATTCAATCATTAAAACCTCAATCGAATATAATCAATCACGGAATCAGTACTTGGGTTCATACAATCAAAGCCTAACATACAAATCTAGGGTTCTCCATACCCAGATGAATGGGAGAACTACTCCATGGAGAAGAAAGCAAAAGCAGAATCAGACACGGAATTCATACTGCGAAGGATGGATTCCTGCTTCTGGACGTTGATCGGCACTTCTCCAAGCTCAAACTGGCCTCCAATGGTGTTGAAGATCAATCTAGGGCGCTTGGAGACTCTTGTTCGTCGCTTTCTCTCTCTAGGAACTGATCTCTCTCTCTAAAACTCGAATTTCCTTGAATTGTGGCTGAAAATCTGCTTAAAAGCATCAGTGGCCAAAGCACGGTCGAGGGCACGGCCGTGTAATGCCTCAGCCCGCCCGTGTTTTGGCTAGTGTTAATTACACTAGGAGAAACACGGCCGTGCTTTGGTGGAACACGGCCGTGCTTTGTCTCGGCCCTGCCCGTGTAATCAGCTCAGCTCTCGGCATAAAAAGCACGGCCACAAGAACACGGCCGTGTAATGATTTAGGTGTGCCCGTGTTTTGGCTCCAGCTCACCGAAATGACTTCCGATTGCCCCGAAACTCGCGCTTAGCCTTCCCTTTGACACCTGGGACCTGAAACATGACAAAATAGCACAACCCGACGTAAAATAGGCCACAATACACGACTATGCCCCTCAAATGGATGAGAACTAGGGGCGCAAACATGTGCAATTACATCGTTATCAACATCATGGGGGATCGTTATCTTATAGGATTCTAAGTAGTTTTCAGTGGACTATTATGGATGATCCCGCATTTTGATATTGCAAGTCAGGATTAACTGTACTGTGAACTTGGTTATGTCATAGAAGAAGATCTTTGAACCTATTTCATAAGCTTTATCTGTAAGTTTGCAAACTAATTTGCTAATTGAACCTATGATGTGTAATATGATGACGTGTTCTTATTTTGATTATCCCACTGTAGAAGCTAAAGCCTTATTGTGGCAGTTTGATTAGTTGAGGAGTAAAGCTAGAAGACTCAGTATATTTTTATTCTATTTACCTTTTCAGTGATTTGCAGATTTAAAAGACAAATGGGTGAACTCTAAGAATTAGAGCTTTAAAGGTTGACCATGAATATGCAAGAAGCTATGGCAGTGGTTACTGAAAAATGGGAATATCTAGAGCTGTGATTCAGTAAAAGGTGTCATAAAGTGACTCAATACAAAAGTCATACAAGCGGAAAATCATAGAAATAAAGGTTTGTCAAAGGCAATAATGTGTATTGAACTCAAGGTAATTCAACCAAAAAGATATTCTTTTTATCCTAAATGTATAGTACATTGAATATTGAAATTATGTTTTATGGATTGTGATAGGTTTCTTTCATGTCTTTGGAATGTCAAAGCTCGAGGACATCCCATTGTGGTATCATATTTTTCGTTCATATTCAGTATCTCTTAGTTGTCTTGCCTGCCATCTATCTATGTTTGACAGTAACTTGAGTACCAACGACATTGAGGTAGAAGGCTCGGTTCATGCTGTTGTGGATACATATTTCTCAATTCACAATGATCACTTTTCCCATGTAGCTTTAGTTCACTAATAAAGATCGAGGGGCTTAACCAGAGTTTTAGAAGTAGCATGTATTGTATTTCAGGCTTCAGCGTTTGAATCATTGTGCTGACAAATTATGAGAGCAGTTGGCAAAGGATAATATTTTATTAACCCTTGGATAGTTAGCTCATTAGATTCCAGCAATCACTAGAATTGTATCATTTGTACATATTGAGTTATTATTTTCGAGTAGGCATTCAATAGGGGGCTTTGTTGCATGAATTGCTACTGATTCACTCTGTATAGATTGATAATGAATTCATGCTTTAGCCTTTACTCATATACTATGGGTATTTTCATGGTTGCAACCTTCCATTTTCTATACCGTAAATGTGAGTAATTCTTATTAGCAGAAATATGATGGAACAATGAAAAACTTCGTGATTGTTTATTGGCAAATTTATTGCTTCTTCGGGTACTGCAGATCTCTCCTTGCATAATTGGCAAGATATGGATGTGTAAAGTATGGCCCTGATTTGATGAAAGCTTATGTGTTAAGTTCAATTTTATCGAGTGATTCCTAGGAATATAGAGAAGACAATGCAATTGGATTGATTTCGTTAGTCCATACTCCATAGTATTTCTTCAATTTTTTTTGTCTGTATCGGGAAAAGAACCACAATTACATACTGCTTCCACCATGGTGTCATCTATACATTTATACTCAATTAGGCAATTTGAAACTGTTTTTGTTTCCCGAAGGCTAATTGTGAACTTAAAATATTTATTTTGATATCTATGCATATTCATTTTTAATATAAAATGACATATTTTTCACCACTAACCGATCTATTTTACATCGTTTGGCAAGTCTCCAATTAGGTGCTATATGGGTAAATATGTCTAGAAATTCGAAGGGGTCATTTGGATAAAGGATTTGAAAAATGAAAGTTTGCGTTAAATTAGAGATTTTGGAAACTCGAGGATTGATGATGGATTTTGGTCATTGTAAATTTGAAAAAGTTATTGTTTGGTTTATGGATTTTATCATGATTGTCGTGAGTTGGATTTATGAGCTTAAATCCAAAAAAAAAAAAAAACTTAATAACTTACTATTGCATATTATTTTTTTATTATGCTAAAAATAATGAATTTATTATAATATGATAATGAACTTTTTTATACGCTCTCAATATCAAATTCTTCTAAAATAAACCCTCTTTTGCTCCCGTTTCTACTCCTACTTCGCAAATTGATTATCTAAGTCTCATTTTGTCCCGTAGGCGAATTGCAACTCCTGTTTCTGTTGGGTGTGCATCATGATGGATGGTGAGTTTCCCGATTGAAGCCGAGGTCCAACATCATTGTCGCAGGGGGGGTCTTCAAAAGGAGTTGTCTAATCCATGTAAATCACTACTCTATCGAGCGCCGCCAAACCACTATTGGGATAACAATTCCAGTGTTGAGAATTGTAAGATCCACAGGTTGGCTTTAGTGATAACTCATATATTTATGAATTGTCGGCGAGAAAATGATACTGGTAGGGTTGATAGTGGGAATACTTTTGGAGACATTTTTTTCTCATCTTTCTCGACTTGGTGGTATTCATGCTTAAGTTTGATACTAGCGTTCTAAAAAAAATGGTTGATTTCGAGTATATCAATGACTATTTCTTGACTGTTGTATGGTTGTTGTTGCTCTTATAAATTAGCGATGGTTTCGATATTGGATTAGATGTTGTTGGAAATTCTTTGCTGGTAGTGGTTGTGCAAAGCAAGTTAGTAATGCAAAATATTATGAATAAATACCTTCTAAGCAATTTATGACGATAATAAGAAGTGCAAATTTCTTATGAAATATGGAAATAAAAATATAGATAGTTTTAATCTAAGGATGACCTAATCAACACAAATATATATGAACTAATTATCACTAATGTCACAATTGAGAAATAGCACAAATTTTATTTTTGAATTGTCAATACATAATTTAAACAATCCCAAATTATTTAAAAATATGAAATAATTAATTAACATCAAACCTTTAAAAAAAATTCATCCGACCAACGGGTCGGGTAAAAGCTAGTCTTATATTGATTCACAAAATAGACAGTTACACCCTGGAATTCAGCCAGGTCTGGAAATCAAAGGAACGGCTAATGGTGGAGTACAGAGAAAGGGCTTTTCTAGCCACCATATGGGCTACCCTATTACTACGCCAACCTACAAACCGAACACTATAACCTGACTGGGTCTGGAGACAATTATAAATTTCTTCAAGAACAGCACCCATCCTCTTATCTCCAAGGTCCCCCCGATTGAGCTTATCAATAATGACTTTGGCATCACCTTCAAACCTCACATCAGTAAGCCCCAGCCCGCTACACCAAATCACCGCCTCCCTAAGCACCAACAGCTCCACAACCATCGGGTCATCAATAACTGGGAATTGCACACCTGCAGCCAAACTGATCCCACCTGTAGGATACACCAGGACCATGCCCCCAGCCGAGTGAGACCCCCTCCTGGTGGCCCCGTCCCACCGACAGATCATACGCGGGTCACTGTCAGTGTTCGCTCGATCTGAGCTAGGAGGAGGGCCTTGCGAGATGGAACGGGCAGGCAACCGAATCCATTCCTCATATTGCTGAACGAACTGGCGCATCAACACTTGGATCCCAAATTGTTTTTCCTCGAAAACCACCCAATTCCGAGACCGCCAGATCCGCCAGAGGATGGCAACCACCGCCATAAACACAGTTGGTTGATTGATCAAGGTCAATAGCTTTTTGAGGAACAAAGGAAACGTTTGACGAGGCAATCCCTCACCCAGATAGTCCAACCCTGAGTAATCCCAGAGGGCCCGGGCCACCGAACAATAAAGGAACAGATGCTCCAAAGATTCCGAACTATCCCAGCAAACCGGGCATTGAGAGTGAACTGGAACCTTACGTTCAATGAGAACCTCAATAGTTGGGAGGGCCCGGGAGAGGATTTGCCAGACAAACACCTTCAATTTAGGGAGAATGTTTAATCCACGAAAGAACTTGAATACTCTTCGATTACAGTTCTTACTTCTTACCGATGAGATTTTGGACGATAGTACAGGGAGCAGCTAACTCTCCTAATACCTAGCTCTAGCCGAACCCTAGCACACACACGTTTCCATCGTCAACTACGTGGGCTTGCATGGGTTTGCATGGGCCTGAGCTCTACACGCTTATTGGCCCACTACATTTCATATTTACAATAAGTACTACAGGTTGCGGTCTCCATTGGCATGATTTATTTGTTCTGAATTTTTTGGCAACTTTCATTGCTCTTCTTAGGCTTGTATATTCATATATGGGTGATGAACCCTTTGTTATTGGTTTCCTTGAAATCTCCCTATAATCTCGGTGAGATATGGATTTATAATTTGGTGTTTGTTTCTTTTGATCCTTGGTGAGAAGGTCTGGTAATGGTTCAGTCTTGGTGTTCATGTTTGGGTGGTGAAACAATGCAATTGATAGCCTCTTATTTTCCTCGTTCACTAACTAATGCTCTAGTATATGATTGATTGATTAGGTTATGATGCGTGATTGGTTTTAAGAAACAACAACGTTCCATTAGCATGATTATGATGCGTGATTGGTTTTATGTGTCGAGTTTCGACAATCTTACAATAAATTGACTACAAAGAATTATGAAAAGCGGTAAAACTACAACAAAGTTACTAAAGATTGCTTGACTTCTTATTCTTGAATACAACAATGGAACATATATAGTACATATTGATAGGAACAATCTCACACAAACTCATTCCCTCTCAAACAAGACAAACAAATTATAAACCCATAAATAGACATGCCAAATTTAACATATATCCAGCAATTAAGGCGGAAATACTGCATAATAATGCTTATTCGTCCACGTGGCATGATGCTAGAATGCATCAGCTTATTCATAAGAAAAACAATCTATTGGCATGATTTATTTGTTTGGAACTTTTTCGGCGGCTACTTTCTCGACCATGGAGGGGGCTTGAATTCATTACTCTTCTTCTTTGGCTTATATTTTCATATGGGTAATGAAGCCTCCGTCTTTGCCGTCGAGTTTCATGTTCCTCGAAATCTTCTTATAATCCCGGTGCGATATGGATTTATAATTTGGTGCTTGTTTCTTTTGATCCTTGACAAGAAGGTCCGACATCGGTTCAATCATGACATCCATGTTCGGGTCGTGAAACGATGCGATTGATAGTCTCTCGTTCCTATCATTCACTAATGCTCTGTGCTCTATGCTCTTGTATTCCCCATTGGTGATAATCTGTGGTCAATGCATTTGCAATGCTATTATTATATACTAACAAGCTAAGTGTATAATTATTGCATTGACCTAAGTTTTGATATCATTAATTAATTACCTCAAGAATATCGCCGATGTTAACGATGAATGCACCTGGAAGTGGATCAATGGGAACCCATTTCCCTTCTTTCCTGACTTGCAAACCTTGTGCTTGATTCAATCGAGTCAACAAAGTCAATCCGGTACCGTCAGCATGAGGGGCAACACCGGTGACCTTGCTTGCTTGCTCACACGGCGGATAGTAGTTCATTCTCAGACTTTGCTCACCGTCGTTGAACAAATTGAGCAGCTTTTCTGGCTCGACTTCCAGGTTCCTGGACATGGAAATCAGCAGGCTTCTAGCCGCCTTTTCCAGCTCTGCTGCATACTGGTCGAGAGTTGCCCTGGTGTGGAACAAGGACAAGCCATATAATGTTTAGTTACTGAATACTGAGCGTAGGGGTGTCAGTTCGGGTCGGGTTCGGTTACCTGAAACCGAAACACGAAAATCCGAAACCGAAAATCACTGAAAACCGAACCTGATAAGAACTTGCGAGCTCCGGTTACCCGAAACCCTAGAATTCCTTATCGGATTCGGTTAAAGCAAACCCGAAAACCCAAAACAAACCTGAAAAATCCTAAACTGTATATAATCGGGTCGGTTTCGGGTAAACCCGAAAAACCGAACCCGAATGGACACCCCTGATTGAGTGATAGAACAAAGGCAAATTGATGACGTGTAAAAGGGGGAACAAAACCTGAAGGAAGAGGGATTTCTCGGCCAGAACCTCATTTTTCTCTCGTGGACTGGTGTCGCATTGATGTATAGCATATCACCCCAATCAAGCGTTTGCTTTTCCGAAAAAACAAACGCTTGACCGTAACCTTCAATGCCGGTTGACAACTGTGCGTATTCCATTTTTTCTTCCAGTGACAAGCTGAAGAAGTGTTGAACATCCTCCGCCATTTTGGTAATCACTTGTTCAGCAACCCCATGATTGATCACCTGTACTTTTTAACATCATGACATCAATAATCTCTAAATTTTGATTCGAGCCAGTATAATTAAGAAAAATATTAAGGAAATTGATGAGTCATATATGTATGTTAATATACCTGGAAGAATCCCCATTCCTTACAAGCCGAATGCAGTTTAGCGAGCTCGTCGTCACCAACCTGCAGCTTGCTCATATCGATCACCGGAATTTGACCAAACTCGCCGGCAGCAACTTGTTCCAGCTCGCGTTCTGGTCGTATGTACCTAGCGGATACATCCTTGGAGACCGCAGCGAGCTCTTGAACATTGGGAACGGGGAGATAACCTCCAACCTCCCCGGCGGTCGGAGCAAGCTGCTGTTGAAAAATGGGAACAGGAAGACAGCCTCCAACGTTAATGTTTTCCGCCATTTCAAAGAACACGTACACTTAGCTGCTTCTTCTGGAATTACTAGCGATTAATGTTAACCTGATCTCACAATCACAAGGGCTAAAGCAGCAGGCTTTATATAGACACGATCTGTGAAAAATAATCGAGTTGAATAAAATAATAGTAAGTAAAAAAATTATTATCAGCAGTGGCGGATCTAGGGGTGGCCACCCTGGGTCACGGCCAAGCCACCCCTGGATTCAAATCACAACTCTAAATTTAGCCTGAAAATGGTAGCTCCAATGATTCTCATCTAAAGAAAAACAAACAGTGAAACCTAAAATTTTAAAACGTAAAAGACTAAAAAAAATATGAGGATTATTCCCTTAAGAAATTACTAGAGCAGCGAGTGAAAATAAGAATTGATACACAATATATTCGATTGATTTGTCCAATGTAGACATTGCTCGTTTCAACTACTATGGAGAGAACATTTTCAACAATGACATAGGTGAAAAATTATTTGAGTAACAAAATAAGCGATGAATTTCTCGTCAATTGGTTAACTATTTTATTTTAAAGAGAGTATGCTATTAGTGTGAGTGTAAACTCCATTATTGATGAATTCACTATATTAAAATTTAAAAGATCGACGTGTACAATTGATATTGTAAAAAAAATTGTGATTTTCTTACGATATCTAATTTTCTAATGAAATGCAGCCCAGCGCTCTACTGTGTTCTTGATCCGCCGCCGCTGTTGTAGCTTTCTTCTAATTGATATGCAATAGATCACGTGGTGCAAAAAAAAAGGGGGTTATTATTGGATCGCAGCTACCAGAAGATGAGAAGAAGATCGATATCGCACAGCCAATATGATAGCGAGACGAGATGGTTTGACGCATCGTTGTCTTCAAATTGAAGAGGGTGGTTGGGACTTGGGGTTGCCAAATTATATCTTGACGGTTGTGATGAATTTATGATATTGTATTTTATGAGTGAGTGACTTTAAGATACTTTGGTTCGGGTGGTTTCATTATACTCAAACAAATGTGAGGAGCCTCGATGGAATATTGGCTGCATAGCCACGGATGGCTTGTGAAAACTTAATTCCTCCTTGTAATCACAAAAAGACCAAGGCACATTGGCGGATCCAGGGGTGGCCAACCCAGGTCCCGGTCCGGCCCTCCTCTGAATTCAAAGTTAGTATAGTCCTTATGAATATTTCGATTTTAGACATTCGGTTCAATGTTATTTTAAATAAAATTGTGTATAACTAGAAAAATAATACGGGCTGAGTTCTATTCGGTCCTAAGAATACGGGCCGAGTTCTATTCATTGGAGGTATTCAGTCGGAACCCGAAAAACCGATAAGCAAAATCAAACCTGAAACCCAAAACAAACCTAAACTGTATAGAATCGGGTCGGTTTCGGGTAAACCCGAAAAGCCGAACCCGTACGGACGCCCCTAACTGAGTGATAGAGCAAACGCAAATTGATGACGTGGAAAAGGGGAACAAACCTGAAGGAAGAGGGATTTCTCGGCCAGAACCTCATTTTTCTCTCGTGGACTGGTGTCGCATTGATGTATAGCATATCACCCCAATCAAGCGTTTGCTTTTCCGAAAAAACAAACGCTTGACCGTAACCTTCAATGCCGGTTGACAACTGTGCATATTCCATTCTTTCTCATCTCCTCCCTCAGTGCGATCTCTTGTTTGAACCTCTTTGTGGAAATAGCTTCAAGGGACTCCATGATGATAGGATCGAACGACTTTGATACCAAACGTTACGTGCCCTTTTTTTGGAGAATAGAATTTAGGATAAAGATTGGAATAGGAATAAGAAGATTGGAGGAATAGATAGATTGAGAGAGAAGTGTTCTTCTTAATGGCGAGAACGGAACCACTAAACTTTTTCGAGGAAAGCCAACCTCCCAAATTAACACGTAGGTGTGTAAAACCCTTTTCTGATTATACTTGATTTATCCCCCTTTCATCTATCCCTCCGCTACCTTAAATAGAGAACTAATCCTAAATCCCCCCCAATCCAACGTAAAAGACCTAACAACAATTATTCCTAAATTATAGGTCCTTAATCCTAGCTAGCAACTAACCCACTCTCTCACGTCTAACAACCCATAACACTTACTCCTAATTCTAACTAGTTTATAACCCGGCCCATTGGCCGGAATATTTATATTTGATTATTTATATTTTCATGTTACGTTTAATCTATCAACCCGTTTAATTTTATTGATAATCCTTCGATCGAGATACATAAAGAAAGAATATGTAGATCAAACATTTGGAGGAATATAAAAATGTATCATTGATCTCATTTTCAAAATGATAATTAAGTCCCCGGTAAAATGCTATTAGTTAGTTGATTGTCAAGAAAGATAGAGTATAAAAGCTCACTCAAATTCCCTCACTAAATCTTAAACCTTGCCATCCTACATAAAGGTCCAATGCTCTCATTTTAGGATCAATGTGCCACTTATCAAAAAGAAATGAAGAGTTGTTGATTCCAGTCAACTATATGCTAACAACTCAGCCAAGAGGGGACCATCACAACTTGAGAGCAAACGCTAAAATTAGGGTTACTTCCAATACACTAATAGATTCGATCAAAGTAATAAGGAACAAAAGTAGACACTCCCTCTCTATCAGTTCTAGTAGGTTTGAAATAGTCGACCGAATCAATTGATGATTCCTCGTTTTAAGATAGAATTAGGTTGCGATAGCTTGAAAATCCATAAACCTAAAGATCCAATAGCCACCCCTCTCTGTTGTACAATAAAAATTTTATTCCCTTTATCTTCAATCTCAACAGGCGTATGTTTCAACCAAAAATTCAATTTTTAATCCTCATTCAGCACCTCCATATATTGAACTCCATTCTATTCATCATGGATTGATATCGGAGTTGAAATTTTTTACTTGCCCAGTTTAAATCCCCAAGAATAAAAATGTAGTGCCAAGAGACCAAAAGATTGATTTTCAAAGGCGACCTTGTACTGTGAACTGAAAAGGACGCAAACTATTGCACAATGGAGGGAATTTCAGAGGAAGTTAGAAAGAGATAAGAACAAAGATAAAAAAGTATAAATTTAAATATAAATTGAAAAATACAAGGACAAAACACGTAGTAATAGAATTAGTTTATTTCATGTTGGCTAATTACCAATTCACCTTTAGCGAAAATTAAGGAGAGAATAGTGATTTTAGAATTGAGAAACTACATGAAACTATGCTATTAAAATTGCAGTATCAAGCACCATAAAAATACATACGGTAGACTTAGTGGGCTTGCTAATCATATGATGAAAAAGTCCTCTGATTTTCAGAGTGTCACTTCGTGTATGTTTTGTATTAAAGAAGATTCAAAAAATTTGTTTAGTGTAATTGGTTGTGATTGTTGTCTTTGTTTGATGAGACCCGGGTTCAAATCCTGATATTGACATTTTTATATGGAATAAATAATTAATTGTACAAACAAAAATGACCTTCCTACTTTCACTCTCGTTGGAGGAAATTTAAAATAGAGAAAAATAGACAAAACTCTACTATATATTGTTGGAGGATTAATAGCCGAGACACTTAATTAAATAAAAATAATTAAAGTACATGACAGTTTCATTCAATCCTCGATTTTTGTCTTTTTTCCCGATATTTGATTTAACCGGATAACCGTCGGTATTTATCGACAGGGGGTCGGTAATAACGAGGAGCTATATGTTGCCGCCGACTACCAAAATTTGTCGGTTATCGGTATACGATTGAACCGGATACCGGGAAACATTGATTTCTTTAAGGGATGCTCATCATTCATAAGGAAGGAGGACCCGATTATTTTAATGGTGTAATAACCCACAAAGGAAATCCTTACGTTTTAAGTGGACAAGTAGGTTGCTAATGATGCTGCAAAATTTTACGCAATAAAAATTAGACCTGGCTGAATCCCATTGATGATGATCAATGAGGGCCAGAGCTAAAAGAGGGCATAGGTCAGAAACGGCGGCGGCCACCTGATAACTAGTCAAACAGAAACTAAGTACTGAAACGGAAATCCGACGCGGATTTACGTAATATCCCTGCAATCACATGACTAATCCACGGAAGAACTTGAATACTTTTTGATTACAGTTCTTACCGATGAGATTTTGGACGATAGTACAGGGAGCAGCTAACTCTCCTAATACCTAGCTCTAGCCGAACCTTAGCACACACACGTTTCCATCGTCAACTACGTGGGCTTGCATGGGTTTGCATGGGCCTGAGCTCTACACGCCTATTGGCCCACTAAACTACATATTTACAATAAGTACTACAGGTAGGTTGCGGTCTCCATTGACATGATTTATTTGTTCTGAACTTTTTGGCAACTTTCATTGCTCTTCTTAGGCTTGTATATTCATATGGGTGATGAAGACTTTGTTATTGGTTTACTTGAAATCTCCCTATAATCTCGGTGAGATATGGATTTATAATTTGGTGTTTGTTTCTTTTGATCCTTGATGAGAAGGTCTGGTAATGGTTCAGTCTTGGTGTTCATGTGTTGGGTGGTGAAACAATGCAATTGATAGCCTCTTATTTTCTTCGTTCACTAATTAATGCTCTAGTATATGATTGATTGATTAGGTTATGATGCTTGATTGGTTTTAAGAAACAACAACGTTCCATTAACATGATTATGATGCGTGTTTGGTTTTATGTGTCGAGTTTCGACAATCTTACAATAAATTGACTACAAAGAATTATGAAAAGCGGTAAAACTACAACAAAGTTACTAAAGATTGCTTGACTTCTTATTCTTGAATACAACATGGAACATATATAGTACATATTGATAGGAACAATCTCACACAAACTCATTCCCTCTCAAACAAGACAAACAAATTATAAACCAATAAATAGACATGCCAAAATTTAACATATATCCAACAATTAAGGCGGAAATACTGCATAATAATGCTTATTCGTCCACGTGGCATGATGCTAGAATGCATAAGCTTATTCATAGGAAAAGCAATCTACTGGCATGATTTATTTGTTTGGAACTTTTTCGGCTACTTTCTCGACCATGGAGGGGGCTTGAATTCATTACTCTTCTTCTTTGGCTTATATTTTCATATGGGTAATGAAGCCTCCGTCTTTGCCGTCGAGTTTCATGTTCCTCGAAATCTTCTTATAATCCCGGTGCGATATGGATTTATAATTTGGTGCTTGTTTCTTTTGATCCTTGACAAGAAGGTCCGACATCGGTTCAATCATGACATCCATGTTCGGGTCGTGAAACGATGCTATTGATAGTCTCTCGTTTTTATCATTCACTAATGCTCTGTGCTCTATGCTCTTGTATTCCCCATTGGTGATAATCTGTTGTCAATGCATTTGCGATGCTATTATTATATACTAACAAGCTAAGTGTATAATTATTGCATTGACCTAAGTTTTGATATCATTAATTAATTACCTCAAGAATATCGCCGATGTTAACGATGAATGCACCTGGAAGTGGATCAACGGGAACCCATTTCCCTTCTTTCCTGACTTGCAAACCTTGTGCTTGATTCAATCGAGTCAACAAAGTCAATCCGGTGCCGTCAGCATGAGGGGCAACACCGGTGACCTTGCTTGCTTGCTCACACGGCGGATAGTAGTTCATTCTCAGACTTTGCTCACCGTCGTTGAACAAATTGAGCAGCTTTTCTGGCTCGACTCCCAGGTTCCTGGACATGGAAATCAGCAGGCTTCTAGCCGCCTTTTCCAGCTCTGCTGCATACTGGTCGAGAGTTGCCCTGGTGTGGAACAAGGACAAGCCATATAATGTTTAGTTACTGAATACTGAGCGCCTAAAAATACGGGCTTAGTTCTATTCATTGGAGATTTTCAGTCGGAATTCGAAAAACCGATAAGCAAAACCGAACCCGAAACCCAAAACAAACCCGGAAAACCTAAACCGTATAAAATCAGATCGATTTCTGGTAAACCCGAAAAACCAAACCCGAATGGACACCCCTAACTGAGTGATAGAGCAAAGGCAAATTGATGACGTGGAAAAGGGGAACAAAACCTGAATGAAGAGGGATTTCTCGGCCAGAACCTCATTTTTCTCTCGTGGACTGGTGTCGCATTAATGTATAGCATATCACCCCAATCAAGCGTTTGCTTTTCCGAAAAAACAAACGCTTGACCGTAACCTTCAATGCCGGTTGACAACTGTGCGTATTCCATTTTTTCTTCCAGTGACAAGCTGAAGAAGTGTTGAACATCCTCCGCCATTTTGGTAATCACTTGTTCAGCAACCCCATGATTGATCACCTATACTTTTTAACATCATGACATCAATAATCTCTAATTTTGATTCGAGCCAGTATAATTAAGAAAAATATTAAGGAAATTGATGAGTCGTATGTATTTATGTATAATATACCTGGAAGAATCCCCATTCCTTACAAGCCGAATGCAGTTTAGCGAGCTCGTCGTCGTCACCAACCTGCAGCTTGCTCATATCGATCACCGGAATTTGACCAAACTCGCCGGCAGCAACTTGTTCCAGCTCGCGTTCTGGTCGTATGTACCTAGCGGATACATCCTTGGAGACCGCAGCGAGCTCTTGAACATTGGGAACGGGGAGATAACCTCCAACCTCCCCGGCGGTCGGAGCAAGCTGCTGTTGGAAAGTGGGAATTACAGGAAGAGAGCCTCCAACGTTAATGTTTTCCGCCATATTTCAAAGAACACGTACACTTAATTAGCTGCTTCTTCTGGAACTACTAGAGATTAATGTTAACCTGATCTCACAATCACAAGGGCTAAAGCAGCAGGCTTTATATAGACACGATCTGTGAAAAATAATCGAGTTTAATAAAATAATAGTAAGTAAGAAAATTATTATCAGAATTGTGTGGAACGTACCGGAGAAGGTTTGTGTACGTAGAAGAAATTAGTTGTGGAATTACATGCATGTGTCCAGTGGGTATGATTAATCCCACCAATAAAGAACGTGGCCCTCCATGCACACCAATCATTCATGAAGTTATTTCTTTCTCGCAAGTAGGATGAGATGTTCCTGTTATGCAAATGGGTTGTCTGTTGTTGTGATAGTAGTGGACACATTTTGATGGTGATAAGTGCAAATTACCATTTGACATCCCCTCTTAATTTGCGATTTGGAGTAGCTTATTGAACTTCTCGAATTTTTTACGGGTAACCGTCTTTGTCATGATATCTGTTGGCTGGTCGTCGGTGTTGATAAATTCCATCATGATTAATCATTCATTGACGAGGTCTCGGATGAAATGATGACGCAACTCGATATGTTTCGATCTTGCGTGAAATACTGGATTCTTTGGCATGGCTATGGCTGACATGTTGTCACAATGAATAATGGTTGGACCATTTTCATTTTGCTGCAAATCATAAATTAATCTTTTTAGCCATACCGCTTCGCATGCTGCATCTGTAGCTGCGATATATTCTGCTTCCGCTGAAGATAGAGCAACAGTCTTTTGCTTCTTTGAACTCCAAGAAATGGGTTTTGAACCCAGGCAGAATATGTACCCCGATGTGCTTTTTCGATCATCCAGTGATCCTGCCCAGTCACTATCGGTATATCCTATCAGCTTGCTTTCTGCTTCTTTCTTGTTCGTCAGGCCCAATTTTTTAGTACCTTGAAGATACCGCAAAATTCTTTTGGCTGCTGCAAAATGAAGTTTTCTAGGTTCATTCATAAATCTTGATATAAGACTTTTGGGGAGCAACATTTTTTAATGAACCTCCTCCCCAATAACTATAAATAAGGCCACTTCATTAATATTAGCATCCTCGTACATAAAACCATAAATCAAAGCAAGGGTATAATTGTCATTAAAAATATTATTTAAATAATTAAAAAATTATAATTAAATAACATTTTTTTATTTTCTGCCCAAAATTTTGGTCTCCAAAATCCGGGCACCGGTTGCCGGAATATACTATTTGTTGCCAGAATCCTCCCATTGTGGCCGGAATATGCTCACCTTCGCCGGAATATACCCACCGTCGCTGGAAGCCAATAACCATGATCGAAATATGCTTACCGGCGTCGAAATCTAGTCATCGGGGCCAGAATATGCTTATCAGCGCCGGAATCAGGTCATCGATGGTCATAGGAGTTTGGTCAACGGTCAACGATCACCTGATGTTATGGTATGCATTGTGAGAATTATGGTTTGGTTTTTCACGTTTTTGTTATGCCTTTTGTGGTTTGCTTTTGTCATGTTTTTGGTTTGCATTAAAAGTTTCTAGTGTGCTTTAATATTTTTTTGGCTTACTTTGTGGGGTTTCTTGTTTGTTTTAATAGATTTTTTGTCTGCATTGGAATGTTTCTGATTTTTTTTTTTTTTTTGCTTTACAATGTTTGTGGTTTGCATTAGGAGATTTTGGTGTGCTAGCTAAAAAAAAAGACCTTTAGCGACGAAAATTTGCCGACTAATGAGATTTCGGCGCTAAAGGTGGGGTTTCGGCGGCGAAACTGTACGTTTCGTCGCTGAATGTCACTAATTTACTAGATAGGCCATGTGATGGACTTGGCGACGGAAGTCTTCCTCGCAAAAGGCTAATGATTTAGCGACGACTGTACTTCGTCGCAGAATCTTTTTCAGTTATTTTGCGACGACAATTTCATTGCCAGAGGTGGTTAAATCCTAGTTTGTCTACTCACATAAAATAAAAGCTTGGACTTGACCGGGCAATGGTGATTGGACATCCTTTGGGTGCAAAAGGTGGTTATAATCTAAGTATCTAACTACACTAATCGTGAATTGTTTAGAAAAGGAACCATAATTAGCAACTAAAGTTTTGTTTTGATTCTCTCCCTGGTTTACATAAGCTCAAGTTCATTTCTGCGTATAAGCCCATAATATAAGTTGTGGATTTATACTTGTACCAGAATTTCAGAAGGTCTATAGCTAATTAGTTTACTCTCCCAAACCATTGTTTCAAATTAAAGCTACTAGTGATGGCAAGTCCTCCTTATAGATATCATATTTTGTTGTGATTTTAGCCTTCTAAGTACACAATTGGTACAAATTACTTACCAATAATATTTTTCCTCTGATTTTTTTTTTCTGCTGCAGACTAGATATCAGCTTCAAGTGCGACCAGCAGTTGGGAATGTTTTTGTGTGAACCAACAATAACCAATCGTTGGGATATTTTGGCATGGATCGTGATGTTCATTGTGGTTAATTTGGAGACTACTTGAGCATAGGTACACAACTACTAGGTAGGACCAGCAGTTGGGATATTTGTTTTACTAGGTGTAGTTATATATAGCTAATTTGTCAATGTCTGTAGTTGGAAACAAGTTCTATTAGTGATCTATAATGTATGGTTTAATGTACGAGGATGCTAATATTAATGACAATGTTATATTATTTGTCGTCTTATGAAGAAGAGTTTAGTAGTACTTATGTTTATATACGAATTAGCAGTTTGATAGAAAACAAGATTATTAGAAGCCAAAATTAAGGTGACTCGCCCAAATAATGCTTACAGTGTGACGAAATTTATTGGTCGCTAAAAGGGTGGTGTCAGATTGAAAAAAAAATCTGCAATGACAAAATTCGTTGTAGAAAGACCAACGTGCCATCGCTGAATCTCGTATGGAGCGACGAATAATTCGTTGCTAAATCCGGTATGCAAGGACTAGTGTTTCCGTCGCCAAAACATCTATTCATCGACGAATGATTCGTCGCTAAAGTGAATATCAAGTCATTTTACAGCAATGAACAACACAATTCTTCGCTGAATTCATTGCTTCAGCGACGACTTATTCGTCACTAAAGCTATAGCCTTTTGCGCCGAATGTCAACTTTAGGCGACGATGCACCAAATTTCGTCGCAAAAAGCTAGGGACGCAGTATAGGCGACGAAAGTTGGTAGGATTTGGTGAAGACTATTAGGGCTGGAAGTTTGGTACTGGTATTTGGGATATACCGAATATCGTACCAAATTTATCACTATTTGGTATTATCAAATATCGGCTTATTTTTTAGGGATTGGAATTCATTTTGGAGTGCTATTCGGTATTCAGGATTACGGGATTGGGATCGATATATACCGAAATACAGAGAAATATCAAAAATTAAAAATTAATGAAAATATAACACACAATTTTTAGTCATTCCTCACTCTTTCACAACTTAGAAGCCCCCATCCAACTCAATTTTGACTTTCCAGTTTAAGCCACTCTCGTTTATCACCTAATCTCTTGTTATTTATATAACACCAAAAAGCAAACACTAATATTAGTCGTCTCTCAACCTCCAATTCGTCAAATTAAGGATTACCAATGACAAGAATTTGAGATTTCACCTCTCCTCCATTCTCCTTATCCATATCCTACCTCTAGGCAAAATCAAGACTCTTTGCTTAGTCTCTTTCCCATAAATTAAACAATCAAATCTAATTTATATATTTAATTATTACTTGCAAAGGTAATTAATTTCGTATTCAATAATACCGATTGGGATACCGAAGTACCGATTGGGATACCGAAATATTTAGGGATTGGGATACCAAAATCATTTAGGGATTGGGATTGACTTTAGAGTGTAATTCGGTATTCGGGATTTCGGTATTTGGTATTGGGATACCGATACCGTATCGATTTCCACTCCTAACGACTAATATCGTTGCAGAAACATTTAGTGACAATTCTGGAGCTTCAGCGACGAATTTCCGTCGCCAAAGGTACTGTTTGTTGTAGTGGCTTTTCAAAATATTTGTTGTATGCTTTGTGGGACTTCTGGTATGTTTTAAAGGGTTTATGATCTGTATTAGCATGTTTCTGGTTTGTTTTTATCATGTCTGTGGTGTGGATTAGGAGGTTTCTGGTGTGTTTTAGAAATATTTATGGTATGTTTCATGATATTTTTGGTTTGCTTCAGAAGATTTGTAGTTCACATTAGCATATTTTTGGTGTGCTTTCAAAATATTTATGATTTGCTTTCTAATGATTCTGGTATTTTTCACAAAATTAGTGATATGTATTAGGGGATTTCTTATGTGCTTTCGAGTGAACTTGGCTTCCCAATAAGATCAGAGGTGGCAACTCCATGAAATCATAGTAGCAAGCTAGAAGCTAACCTTTTCTCATGGACCAATCATCTCCATTAGATAAACTAATAAACATGATTTAATTTTATTTACTTTACCGTTGATTAGACTGGAATTAGTTCGTAAGTTAAGGGAAGCCACGAACCCACAACACAATTACTAGTAGGTGAATAATTGTGGAATCACTCAAAAATTCCAAAATCTGCTCGGTCCAAACTCATCTGATTTATATAGACACGATCTGTTAAAAATAATCAAGTTTAATATAATAATAATAGTAAGTAAGAAAATTATCAGAATTGTGTGGAATTTACCGCAGAATATACCGTGTAGAAGAAATTAGTTGTGGAATTAATGTAGTAGTCATTACCCTAATGTTTTCTTCGTGCACATGACAACCTCCATGGTCTCACTCCAACATAATTAGTAGTTGTCATAATTGAGATTGGCGCTGACCGCTGATCTCACCGTTAAGAAGGAATTATCACTTTGTACGAAGTTATATGGGTTGGAATAATGATCTCCTTTCCCTTGTCCTTAGTGGAGGATTCGACTTGATATTTTCGATTCGTACAAAGTACGATGAAAAATATAAAAAAAAGGTACGTAGCATGGAAATGATTATTGGTGACATGATTTGAACTGGTTGGTGAGCCAAACAAAACAAAAACACACGGAAGAAGTAGGTGAGCCATAGTCGTCACGATTTTTTTCCTCCTTTTTGTTACTAGCATAATGACCGGCACGTTGGCCGGATGAGATTAATATAAGGTTGTTGTTGTTGGTATAAGTATGGCACGGAATGTGATCAAGCAATCTTATGTATATTTTCACCCGGCCCGTTGGCAGGTAAATTTTTTATTTGGTTTATATACTATCATATTATGTATCCGTTATACCGTCCAAAATTCTCAATCTCTCAAAACCATACGATGGCAAGTTGAGTATTTTAGTTTGGGTGCAAAACAGGATGGATATGTTCATGAGTATACATTTCAAAGAAAAATATTTAACATAAGAAATTCATTAATAATTTGGGAGAAAAATGTTATATAAAATAGAGGCTATGCTATAATAAATATAATTAATTATTTGGGATACCCGTGAACCGAATTTAATGGTTCATGGTTCTTTTTCGAGTACCCGAGTACTAATCTCTCCCACTGCCGACACAATTTCCCTCGCCCCTCACTCTTGATTCCTTTACTCCATCGGTGTAGCCATCCACCTAGCTCCTCCTCCCTCCCTCACCAATCCCGCCTTCCAACCGATTCATCACCATCGCCGACTTCCGTTATGTAGCGGCAGCGATTAGAGCCGGAGAGGAGCAGCGGACTCTTCCGCCCCACCTTAGGAACCTCTCCTCGGTTCCACCTCGATTCCGTTAGGTTTTGGTTTCGGTTCTGGGTTTCACCGAAACCCGAAACAGCCATATTAGGAACCAGACCCGATTTTTCTTTTGATGCATCGGTTTTCAGTTTCCCGATACCCGACACTTTTGGTTTTGGATCCGGGTTACCCGGAACACCGAACCTGAACGTCCACCCCTAGCTAGAAGCCAATATTCCTGCTTCAATCCAATTAACTGCTCCAATGAATATGAAGGAGTTTGTGTCGATTGTGATGTGTGACAGTGTGACTGAGTCCTGAAATCAATTTTGAAATGGAAGCAAAAGAGTTAGATCAAAGCCACCCAAGAGATGAGAAAATAGTATATGAGGAATCGGCCACTACCTCTGACCACCTGAACCTTTGAGGTTGAAATTTGATGTATTGCACTGTACACAGGAAACATTAAAGCAAACTTTTTTAGCAAGCATATATAAAATATGAAACGGAAAGAAGTTAAGGGAAGAAAATGTACCAAAATATGACAATCGTTGACAGTTTCATGAACATAAGGATCCCAATTCAGCAGAATAGAAAAATCATGTTGCTTTGGTGCTGTTGTGAAGCTGAATTCCACAGGAAATGAAGCAAGACAGTTCAAACCGCGAGGCAAGCTTCTTCTTCTTCATTCGCCCCCTTCCTCACATTCTTGTTTCAAAATCTCCTTAAACCAGTAATTTGCAGGTAACTCACACAAACCAAGAACATAAAACATACCGAAGATGATTGCTTCTAAACGTAGAAGAAGCAGTTGGTCTTACCAGAAGTGGTTGGAACGTATCTGCTTGTTGTTGCCTCCCCAACCGGAAGAATGTCTGATAAACCTAGAAACCCTCTCAAGGGGTTGTTACTCATGAAAATTACAAAGCGATATTGAAGGGCTCAGGTAAGGAACCTAGATCGAAATATTGAAAGAAGAAGAAGTAGAAGAATAAACGAACATACCTGAAATCCTGAATGCAGCAGCAATCCAAACAGGCTGAATGTCAAACACACTTCAGAGGGCGGATTCTCAAAAACCATAAGTAGATTTTGAAGGAGAAGCCAGAGAATTTGAAATCCCTGAGGCCTGAAAATGACGGAAGGAGCCCTTGAAGTAGCGTATGTCAAGGCAACTCCCTGCTGCAACCCGCCACAGACCAAGAAATCGTAAAAATTAATAGTATTTCAGAAATCACGCCAAGTTCAAACTTATTTGATCAAGCAGAACAGAGACACGAACACGTAACCGACAAATATATCTACAACACAAAAATGAAACAACCTCGCGCCTTGGCATAGATTGAATCACTTACTGATTTTCAGAAATCACCATCAGGAAACCAACATACATATATCTGAAACTGATAACAGGACAATTGGCAGCATAATGCAACAACATGACAGCTAAAAAATGCAAGTGAATCAATGAACGACATAAACAACTACAAAAAAGGCAAATGGAATGGCTGGACATGAATATGTCTCCCACATCAGCTATGAAATCAAGAAACACAAAACAACTTGGCGGTAGGAATTACAAAACTATGGATAATGAAGAAAATACGAAGAAACCTATGACTGGGGCACTACCGAAATGATACCATAGAGCATGACAACCTTCTGATTGACTTCTATCAATTTTAGAGGCACTGTCTAATATTCAAACAATTGCTCAAGCAAGCACTGCCGAAACAATAATTTACACTATTTACAAAATCATTAAAGCACTCAACACAATCTCGGTTCAAACGCTCCTACTAAACAATGGCTAACAAAACAAAACCAAAACCAAATTAATTGTTAGAAGACATCTACATCTAACATGGTCAAGTTATATCAAACTCAAAAGACCTAACAACGGGCAAGCAAAGACAGTTAATTAGGAAACAACGGAAAGTAAATATTACTTGTAAGGAGGTTCACTGAAAGCAAAAATGAACTCACCAATTGAAAGGACAGAACTTCAATTACGGTCATGTCAAAATGAACCAAAGAAATATTGTAATGTAAGTTAAGGGTGGCAATTCCAGTACCTGATCGCGTACTAAAACCACAATTGGGGTTGGGGAATCACGTGCCCAACTCTTGAGAAAGAAATCAATGGATGAGGTCAAGGTTTCCAGTTACAGATTGAGAACTAAAGCGACAGTAGGCATAAGAGATTCATGTTCCCTATTGACAATTGAAATCAATGGCTGGGTCAAAAACTCCAATTTTTGTTTGACAAACAAATCGAAGACTTGGGGATGGTAAACTGATCTAGAGGGCTCACCTTTTAATCGACCCGTAGACAACAGAGATTCAAAATCTTTGACCCCGATGACGTCGTAAGCCAATCCAAAGCTCCCGTTCGGCTCGCACAAAACCATGGAGTTTCACTGACAGAAGAACAACCAGTATAGAGATATCAGAGAGGAGAAACACCAAACGGAGGAAAGTGAGATAACAATGAATTGGCACTAAAAAGTACCGAAAAAAGATATTTTATATATGTACCATAGATTGTTCAAATCGCCACCGTAGCAATAGATCAGGAGCTGAAGGAAGGTCAATCAATATCCAACCAAATGCAGCAGGTAATTGCAGAACAGAACAACTTATGGAAGTGCACATAGAAATTAACAGAAGGCGCAACTACAAACTTGGGTATCATCCAACATTGAAATCCTTCAAAGTAACCACATTCTACTCACTGCGCCTAGAATTCAAACTCCCACCTCATTTCCCAGCTATTGTTTAATTACATGGCAGCAATATATAGCAAAATCAGATGAATGACCTTAACATGGCTTGATAAAGGGGTGGCAAAGAACAGTACTTCACCATCTTTCAAGCTCTTACCTCGTCCCTCGAGTCTTCTGCATCAACAGATTCTGCTTTCTCTATGAGTTGGTCTTCACCCGCTGCAGATTCTGCAGCAGCAGGAGCTGCCTCATTAGCATTAACATCATTTCCCTCTGCAGATCCTGTCTCCTCTTCCTTGTTCTTAGGTGGAAAGATATTAGCAATGGTAATTTTCGCCCTTCTCTCGCTTTCGCTTCAGCCTTTAGCCTAGCTTTTTCTTCCATAAGGTTGTCTAGTTCGTCTCCTCTCCCTTCCTTGTTCAACTCGCCTTTGACTATCTCCTGAAGCTCCTCATTCACGTTGATAGCCTCATTATCCAACATTGCATCGACCAATTGAAGCACTTCGTCCAACCTCCCATGATCACTTAGTGCTTTCATTATGAACTTATAGCTCTCATTATTCATCCTCTGTTTCTTCACCATCAGCTCGTACAACTATTTTGCCTCGTCAATCTTCCCAGCCTTAACCAACTGATCAACCAGTCTATCATAAACAGGCAAGTCCGTTCTCAGCCCTGAATCGACCATCTTCCTAAAATATGCAGCACCATCATCAATTTTACCCTCCTGAAAGCAAGCATACATCAATAAATTATCCCTTGTGACCGATTCCAACCTGAAATTATCTAGCATCATCATCATCATTATCATCAACATCAAGTAAAATGGAAAATGACGAAAAGGATCTGAAAGGGCATCAGACCTAGCAGTCTCGGGTTGACCCAGCAAACTCTTCTGGAAGGGATTCGGAGAGGATCGGGAAGAGTCGGGAAGTCACTGGTGAAGACGAATCACCACTGAATTCTAATTCCGCGATGATATGGAATTTGCCGGCCACTGGTATGAGGTGAGGACGAAGGGACAATTAGCGGTTGCAGGGGTGATTAAGCATGGCTGAGTTGCAGACTGGGAAGAAGCGGCACCGTCGGAATGCGTCGCTGGTATGGGTGAGGAAGAAGGGAAAATGAGCGGTTGAGAGTCGCTGGAATGAGGTGTAGACGAAGGGATATTGAGCAGTTGCAGGGACGTGTATACTGATTTTTCGAATAATAAAATATAAGGGATCCACTAAGACAATTTACTTTCCACAATTGTCCCTAGCGACAATGCAGGAGAGGCCAAGGATTTCAAAATGGAGAAAATTAGCCGGAGAACGGCTATATATTATAGGAGGATTTACATTTCCTCAGGTAGTTTGCACATTGGACGGTTTAAACACGGGTATGGAGTTCACCGTTCAAACTATGAAAATGGGCCCTAAGAGCCGGGCGGTTGTCGGATCAAATGTTGAGCGTGATTTCACGGGTTGTTGGATGGACATGGAGACAATTTTATGAATAAGATATCACCTTATTTATTCAATAGTCACGCAGGATCATGCAAATATTGAGCTATAAACCATAAACACCATAGTGCTCCAATTGAAGCAATTTGATTTTTTGAGGACACATCATAATTTGTCTCAAGAGTTTTTGGATGTTTGTTGATCGAAATCTATTGCAATATGGTCTAACTAATAAATAACTAGTGTTACCTGGTGGGAAAGGACTACGGAGCGATCGTGGGATCCATGGTGGCTGCCGCACACCAAGAGCGGGAGGGCCGGCTTCATTGCCCTGGGAATCCCTTTCTTCTTTTTGCTGATAATTAATTTTTGTAATTTATTAATTTTTATTTAATAATTATTATGATAAATCATATAGACAAAGTAAGTGGAATGATAAGCTGGAAAATATTTTTTTTTAATTTTTTTTAAATTTTTACGTCATCTAATTAACGGTCAAATTTTATAGTTGACTGCCACGTAGGATAAATTTAACGGAGTGTAACGACCGATGACTAACGGTGAAACGATTCATAAAGTTAGTGGCGAATAAGAAAGAAAAGTAATTTGAGTGGCAAACATGAAAGATTTGTATAACATGAGTGATCAAACATGTAATTTAGCCGAGAAGAAATAGTTGCAGGCCAAAGTTCCAATGTCGAGAAATAGAATGTTCACTCTGAAAATTCAAGCTGAAATGGCAAAGTGCTTGAAAAGCATGAGCGAGGTATGGTCATCTGAATTTTGGAAGCTTGAAGTTACTTGGTGAAAAGAAGATGGTACATGGTATGCCCGTGATCAACCATCCTAGCCAATTGTGTGAAGGATGTTTTGTTGGGAAGAAATTCAGGATAAGTTTCCCAAAGGAGTCCCTGTCAAGAGCTAAAGCATCTTTTGAGCTCGTATATGTAGATCTCCGGGGACCGATCACTCCAACATCTTTTTGAAAGAATAGATACTTCCTAATGTTCATTGATGACTACAGTAGAAGGACATGGGTTTACTTCTTGAAGTAGAAGTCATATACATTTGAAGCTTTCAAGAAGTTCAAGATGCTTGTGAGACCGAAAGTGGCCACTACATCACAGCCATGAGATCAGAAAAAGGGGGAGAAATTATGTTGAAGAAGTTCGGAAGGTTCCGTGAATATAATGGAATTCACCGGTTTCTCTCAGCTCCAAGATCTCCACAAGAAAATGAAGTTGTTGAATGAAAGAAACGAATAGTACTTAAATGGTGGGAAACATGTTGAAGAGCAATAATTTACTGAAAGAGTTATGGGCTAAAGCTGTTGAGTGTGCAGTCTATCTACTAAGCAGATCACCAATAAAGAGTGTTACGCAGAGTAGTCAAAATCCTGATTTAAATTCTAAAATCCTACACTTTTACACTTTTACTTACCTATTCCGATTCTGATTTCACTATAAAATCTATGGAACTTAAAATCCTACACTATTCATGATTTAAATCCTTAAAATCTTATGATTTTACGATTCAAATCTTTGAGTCAATTTTACTTATATTCCTTAGAATTTGCAAAATTACGCCTTTTTTCTTCTCCTCCACAAACATCATCTAGTTCTCTCACACTAACCACCATCGACTATAATCCATTCATATTAACGTATTAATCATCATCGATTCATCTTAACACTAACCTTGACAAATTGGAACATTAACCTTGAAAAATCATCATTGTAAGTGTTATGTGTTATTCATAATTTTTTTACTAATATTATTACGTTTTCATTTCTATATGGACCTTAAAATCCTACGATTTTACGAATCGATTCTACGATTCCGATTTTACCCCCATTTTTTATTTTACGTAAAATCCCGATTTTGAGTGCTTTGAGTGTTAGGTATCAAACACCCCAAGAATCGTGGAACGAGAGGAACCTCACTATCTCTCACCGCCGAGTCTTTGGATATTTTTTACATGTGCACGTGCTAGATCAAGAAAGGTCAAAGTTAGATGACAAAAGTAAGAAATACTTGTTCTTGAGTTATTCACAACATTCTTAAGGGTTACAAGATGTTTGTCCTGTGGAAGAGAATGTGATTATCAAAATTGATTAGGAAGAAATATGGGATTGGAAAACTGAAGCACAAAAAAGTATACTTTTATCCACTCATTATGGATGAAAGTGGTGAGGTACCAGATACAGGTACACATGTATCGAGTCCACCCAGTTGCAGAGAACCTGTTAGCCCTTAAGGAGGTTCATGTGAAAGTCCAAGAGAGATGCCATGAAAGAACAGATTTATGTTCCGATTTATGTTGATTTTTCGCCCTTTCGTCCAACTTTCGACTCCGAAGTTGGTTCAACCTGTCAAAGTCTGAAAAAACACCAAAACAAGGCAAAACCCGGTGTAAAACCAAACCTTCCGAAGTAAAAAATGCTTCAAAAGACTAAGAAAATCGAGGGTAAAAAGTGTACCATTGGCCGAATCAATACTATAATAGAATCCAATGATGCCGATTTCTTTGAGACTCGATATCCATTTAAAACGAGAAATAGTGGGGGTAATGTACTACCTGCTATTAGAGATAACGAAACTAGTGGGGGTGTTGGATCTGAGGATGAACTCAGAAGAAGTAAAAGAGCTAGAATCTCCAAAGATTTTGGTGATGACTTTTACTACAGTATACACCCTCGGAGATCCCTAAAGTTTGCAGGAAGCATTAACTTCCATAGATATAGATTTTTGGAATGAGGCTGTTACAGATGAAATGGATTCGTTGGAAGCTAATAAGACTTGGCATCTAACAGACTTACCTCCTGACTGCAAAGTCTTAGGTAATAAGTGGATTCTAAAAACGAAACGGAAACCTGATGCTGCAATCGAAAGGTTCCGAGCTCGCCTAGTAGTTAAATGCTATAGGCAGAGAGAGAATATAGATTTCTTCGATACATATTCGCCATTATCTATAATAACATCCATTCGTGTCACGATTGCTCTTGCTGCCTTGAACAATCTCGTGGTACACCAAATGGATGTTAAAACTGCTTTTTTGAATGGTGATCTGGACGAAGAAATCTATATGGAACAACCAGAAGAGTTTGTTATCCCTGAACATGCATCGAATGTCTGTAAGTTAGACAAATCATTATATGGTTTGAAACATGCTCCAAAACAGTGGCATGAGAAGTTTGACACTCTCGTTCTCTCACATGACTTTAAGGTGAATGAAAGTGACAAGTGTATTTACTACAAATCAGAGAATAACACTTGCACTATCATATGCTTGTATGTAGATGACATGTTGATATTTGATACAAATATTCACGTGGTCAATGAAGCAGAAGCCATGTTGAGAGAGAGCTTTGAGGTAAAACACCTGGGAGAAGTTAAGTTTATATTTGAAATCCGAATAACTAGAACAACAAATGGTTATTCTCTAGACCAATCTAACTACGTAAAAATACGTAAATCCAACTTACATTTCAAAACACCACATCATGTTTATATCTCTTTGTCACACTAATCATTATCACGAGTCACAAAATCATAAAAACAACCCAATCCAATTGCTCACAAAAAAAAAAAAAAACATAACATTTCTTCCCACTTCATTTTATCATGCCTATCGATTGACATCTTCCTCCAAATCCAACCCTTCAAAATCCCACTAAAGAACACCGGTCTTTAAGGCCTAATCCTCTCTTTCCCCTGCATATTTTTTTTAGGAACGTGGCTAAGCCACGGTCGTCTCCTCCAACTCGCCGGAAGTCTCCCTTGCAATCTCCTCCAATTGACCGGCGGTCTCCCTTGCAAAATCCTCGTCCCCATATATCTGCAACAAACAAAAACCCATGAACCAACTCTTTCATCAACACACACACACATAAAAAGAAAGTTTATTCAATCAAAACTCACTTACCTTCCAAGCATCATAACAGTAGCTTGAGGGTTCGTCCCCGGAGACTTAAGAAACGTCGATCCATCAATAACCCTCAAACCATCAACACCAACAACTCTATAATCCTGATCCACCACTTTCCCAACTTGACACCCTCCATGGTAATGCCAAATCGTCATCACCGTGTCGATGCAGAACTGCTCCAGCGAGATCGACGACGAGACGTGCCTCGGTCTCAAGTTCACCGGCAGATTCAGCATCAAGTCCACCAATGCCTGAACGGGCAGGTGCGCGTACCGGAGCCTAGCGAACGACGGCGCGTTGATCAGGTTGATGATGCTCCTCATCCCTTCCACGCACCCGCGCAGGTCCTGTGGATCTTTGAAGTAGTTGAACGTGACCGCAGGATTGTCCCTTGGACTCCTGCTCCGCAGCTTGAGATCCCCTGAAGATAACGGTCCCCTCACTTTCTCTAGTATCACTCCCCCTTTCAAGCTCGTGTTGGCGGCGTAGGCGTGCACCGTGTCGATCGCCCTCGCCATCGTCTCCGCCGTCAACGACGATGGCTTCCCCGACTGAAAAAAACGTCGGGATTTAGTGCACTGTGGACCAATTTGTTTCGAATGCAGGGTATGTAACGTTTTTGTCACATCCAATTTGAAAGAAAATGTAAACCTGATTGAAGAATGTGACATAGTCACGAGCGAATCCCTGAGCCCAAGAGTAAGCGAAGCTCAGCCCACTAGCGGTTTCGATGTAGGTGTTCTGATTGGAAGGGATGCCGACGACTTGAATGAGCGAGATCTCAACTGGAACAGGGGAAGGAACGTAGAGGAGGTTCATCGGATTGTCCGCCATTCCTTGTCCCACATTGGGCTGATCCAAAACCACATGGATTCCATGGCTCTTCAGATGCAGAGCAGGCCCAATCCCGCTCAACATCATCAGTTGCGGGCTCCCGAGCGCGCCGGCGGTCAAGATTACCTCGTTCTGTGGGTTTGGTCTCAAGAAAGCCCTCTTCCTGATTCCCAACGCATCTTCGAATACGACACCGTATGCTCTTGGCTTTGGCCATTGCCTCCCTGCAATGTCACAAAACTAAATCAATCAAACTCATACACGAATCAATCTTATTCAATTGTTTTATCTGGAGATAATTAGACAAAATTAATCCATTTGATTACATAAAATTCGAATGAAAGAATTATGTTTGATTGAAATAAAACAATCATAAACGTAGATATTTAAATTAACTCCTTCTAAATGATGAGACATTAAATTGTCTCGTTTTTCAATTGATTAAAGTTTTTTGACTCGTACCTTTATTAGTGAAGAGAATTCTGGCCACGGTGGCGTGGAGGTAGACCTTGACCGTCAAGGGGTTGGCGTACTCGAGGAGATCGGCGGCGGTGTGGCGGTGGCCCTGGTCGTCGAAGATGGTCCCGCCGATCTTGGTCCCGTCGACGTGGTTGTACGTGAAGCCGTTGTACGGCAGGACGCCGATCTCGACGAGCGCGTCGCGGACGGCGGACTGCCACTGCTTGACCTGCGGCTCGAACGCGACCTTCGACTCGACCCAGTCGTAGGATCGGCGGACCAGGTCCTCGTCCCACCCGGCGTCGCGCACGAACTCCGGCTCCGCGTGGGAGTAGAACCCGGCGTTGATCGCGCTCCCGCCGCCGAGCACCCGGGCGCGCGTGTTGTACACGCCGTCCTCGGAGATGAAGATCTGGGAGGCAGAGTGCGGTGACGTGTCGGAGATCGTGCTCCCGAAGTTGCCCACGTTGGTTATGTTGAAGTCGCGGTACGGGGACCCGCCCCGCTCCAGGACCAAAACGGTGGCGTTTTGGGACAGGGTCGCGGCCAGAGGACAGCCCGCGGTTCCACCGCCGATGATGATGTAGTCGAAGTACACCACCGGCGGGGCTACCGTCGCGTCGTGGACGAACGGGAAATGCTGAGCAGCTGGCAGTAACAGTGGAGAGAAATTAAATCAATTTGATCAGCTTAAATTGACTGATCGAACTGATAAATGAAGAAGCGGGTATATTACCTATAAATGAGCTGCAGGAGCCATGGAGCAGGAAAATGACGGCGAGGAGAAGAGCTGCAATAAATCGCATCTTGCCCTGTGAATTTCCCAGATCAGAGAATTACCCAGAAAACCTGAAAATTAAAGAACAGTCTTAGGAGATAAGCATCTGATTTTAATAAGCTGGGTGGCTTGGCATTAATCTTGTGTCGTGTGCAAAGATTATGTCTCTGCTTCAAACGGATGAGGGGATTAATTTGTACGTAGAAACTCATCATCTAAAGATTAAGGGTAAGGGAATTCAGTAATGGCGGGTTTTCTTTACCGGAACCAAGATTGCTGTTGTGTTGGTCGATCAAGATTGAAGATTGTGTTTGCGTGGTGGAACACAAATGGGAAGGATTTGAGTAGTTAATTGTGAATTGCATAGTTACTGCTACTGCAAGGTTCTGCCAACTCCGAACGAACAAACAAACAAACTTTGGCCGTATTCGCTTTAGTTCAAAGTGCCATTAATGGTGTTTGTTACAAGAAAAAAGAGTCAATACATGGCTGACTTTGCTTAGTGAAATTTTATTTGGGGTTGACCAGCTGACTTCAGGAGCAAAATGTGGAAGTGGAAACAAATGTATGAATCAGACTGTCTTTGGAACGTTACCGGAGTGAATTGTAGGGTGTTTGTTGGGATAAGCTATGAAATTTTTTAGACAATTGGAGCTATAGGTCTTTTCCCCTAGCTTACCATTAAAGACACACATTAATCGATTATCTTTTAATCTCACTTGACTAAATTTTTTGGCTAGGCCACTGAAATGAGGAACATAAAAAAAAATATTGGGTAAATATAAAATATTAGTCAGCCCCTCCTTCCCTATCCATTGTCTCGTCGGCAGAGCGTTTGCCTCCTGGTCAGAAGAAGACTGATTCGATTGAGGAAACCTTCGTCTTCCAATCACGAGGATAAGTTGTATTAACCCTGCCTCTTTCCATCATCTGGCTCGAATTAGGTGTTTCCATCATCTGGTTTGAATTAGGCTGTAGACGAAATAGATTGTAATTGGATGGCTCTTCTGGTTTTTTATTTTCGAATGGGAAGTTTTATTGTTAGTAAGAAGAATCATGACTGCTTTGGATGGCTCTTCTGGTTCGGCCAACACAAATGACGTATTCAGACCTCTATGCTATCATAACAAACCTTGCATCACGAACAAATACGGTACTAGTAGGAATCCAGGAAGGCAGTTCTGTTGTTGTCCATATTGGAAGGTATTATATTTGTTTGTGACGTTGGGTTGTTTGTATACCTATGTATTTAGCTTAGTAATAGCTTTCATTTCATTTGTAGACGGATGATTGTCGATTCTTCCTATGGATGGACAAATATATGAGAAGGAATGCATCAGTGTGGTCTGCACATGACAATGGGAAGGCTGGTTTCATGGCAAAACTTATGGAAGTGGAAGCAAGCAATAACAAGTTTTTAGAAGAGTTAATTAGAACTAGAAAAGGTCATGCAAGAATTAACTCTGAGATGAGCCGAATGAACATTGTGGTCCAAAGTCTTGACAGCATGATGACAAACCTGATCTTCTGTATAATTGGTGTCGTAGCTTATGTTGTGTTCTGTAGATTCCAAGGAACTTGAGTGGCATAACAGTATGTAGAAAACAGTTGTGTAATATTCAATTTTGGCCTTGTTTGAGCGGTGTTGCAATATGTAGAAAACAAATGTAGTTCCATTTCAGTTTTGTAATCCTACTATAAAACTTTGTGAAAGTAAATCTTTGGATCATTGCAATTACTAGAACAAAATACGACACTTAATCAACATCAACGTTGAACTTCTCACAAAATCCACCCATATATCGTGGTGCCTCACCAGAAAAGTCCATCTCGCCTCCGTGATGGTAACCAATCTCCATATATTCAATCATCTACATGGTCAAGTAAAATACAATTTGTTATTGTGCTTCTAAACAAACAGACACAACAAATGGCTGGATTCGAGAAACCCTAACCCATCGGAATTGGTGATGTTCGAATTTGAGGAACCCTAAACATTCAAAACCTAATTTTGAAATACTGGTAACACTTCGACAAAAACCAGGTCATAGCCACCTTACCTTCGTCGAACGAGCAGTCACTTCCGCCTTTCGGATTCGCTTTATCTACTCAAAGCCGTCACCACTTTGACAGAACCCAAATCGCCGCTCTCCTTTCTCCTCTCCTTTCCCAATCGCGCGACTTCGTGGGACAAAGTGTGGGTGGACTTGTAACAACCCAGGCCAGCTGGCATTAGTATAAATAAGAGAGTCTCACCTGGCGTGTACTATTTTTTTGGACAAATCTGTAAATGAGATAGCTACTTTCCCAGTTTAGTTCTCAATAAAGCTCTCTTTTCCTCTCCTTTTCTCTATCTCTTCTGTTCCATTCCCCTCTACCTCCATTTCGCCAGAAATCCATCAACAGCGGACCTTACAAGTGGTATCAGACGCCTTCCTTCTGGCAATGGCGACGAACACCTCACGTATCGTCGATTTGGAGTCTCAAATGGCAGCGGTGCAGCAAAAACTGGATTCGCAACATCTCGATCTGAAATCCGCCATTGCCGAGCTCGCTGCTTCCACCAAGGATAACATCGACGCCCTCACCGCCTCCCTGACGCGGTTGCGCGACCAGTCTCCGAAGCGTTCTTCTCCGTCTGGCTCTCAATCACACTTTCCCGAGCCTCCGCCGTTCCGCTCTCAACATCGCCGTTCGTCGTTGTTGGATCATTATCCACGGTTGGAGTTTTCCTATTTCTCTGGTGCAGATCCTCATGTGTGGGTGAGCAAGTGTGCGAAGCTGTTCAACCTGTATTCGATTCCGGAAGATCAGAAGGTGGAGTTGGTTTCGTACTACTTGGAAGGCCGAGCTCACACATGGTTTGAGGGCTGGTCCTTTCGCCGTTTCCCTCTGGTTTGGGGGCAGTTCGTTGAGGAATTACTTCACCGGTTTGGAAATCAGGAGCAGCTCAATGTTGTTGCTGCTTTCAATCAGCTGCGGCAGACGTCGTCGGTCTCTCGTTATCAAGAGGAGTTCTAGGATCTTCGTTCCCGAATGCTTCGGTTGAATCCCGATCTCAATGAGTACTATTTCGTTATGAGCTTTTTGGGGGGACTTGACGATGAAATCCAGCCCCGCGTTTAGGTTCTGAATCCTCCGACGTTGGCGTGCGCCTTCTACCAAGCTCGTTTGGAAGAATCGGCGATTGAGGCCCGTAAGAAGAAATCTCGCTCAGCTCCTTCCAATCGCTGGGCGGCTTCTTCGTCCGCTTCTCCGTCACCATCGCTTGGCCGTTCTTCTCCACGTGATTCTCCTGTTTCGTCTCACTTCCCGCCTGACCGAAACTCCATTCCGCGAGGCCAGGGGCTTTGCTACAAGTGCAGCGACAAGTACTTCCATGGGCACGTATGTTCTAAAAAGAAGCAACTCCATTCCTTGCAGGCTGATTCTCCTCCTTTACTTGACACGGAGGGAGATACTGATGATGATTTCCAGGATGCAGAACTGGAGGTGTCATTGCAGGCTATGGGCTCGGGTTTTTCGGGGAATTCGTTGCTCATTCCCGCCACAGCAGGTCACCGCGAGGTAACGGTTTTGATCGATACTGGCAGTTCTCATACGTTTCTGAATTCTTTGAAGGCTGAGGAACTGAATTGCCGAACCGAGGAAATAGCTCCCATGAGAGTTAAGGTGGCTAGTGGACATACCCTGTTGAGTACTGCTGTGTGTAGGGGGTTCAATTGGAAGATGCAAGGGCAGGAGTTTGGCTTCGATGTTCGTACTCTGGAACTACCAGCACATGATCTTGTTTTGGGATGGGACTGGTTGGAAACCATAAGCCCTTTTCAGGTGGATTTGAAGAAGCGTCAACTTTCGTTCGATTGGAAAGGAAGAGTTCTGACTTTGCAGGGTTTGACTAAGGATGGGCAGTGCAAAGTTATGTCAGGCAAGTCATTTACGCAGCTCCTTCGCAAGCCCAGCTCTCATTTGACAGGTGCTGTGTTCTCTATTGAGGCTCAGCCTGCTTCCCCTGTTCCTACTCCAGACTTTCTCAGACCTCTTCTCTCGTCCTATTCAGATATATTTGCTACACCAACTTCACTTCCTCCCCGCAGGTCCTTTGATCACTCCATCCCATTGATGCCAAATACCAAGCCTGTTAACATCAGACCATATAGATTCCCTCACCACCAGAAGGCTGTAGCCGAGAAGCTGGTACATGAGATGCTTCAGTCCGAGTTTATTCAAGAGAGCCATAGTCCCTATGCTTCTCCTGTTCTCCTCATTGGCAAAAAAGACGGCACCTGGAGATTTTGTGTTGATTACAGGGAGTTGAACTCAGTCACTATCAAGGACAAGTTCCCAATACCCCACATTGAAGACTTATTAGATGAATTGCACGGGGCAGTGATTTTTTCAAAACTTGATCTCAGGGCAGGTTACCATCAGATCAGAATGCGGCCAGAGGATCAGTTCAAAACGGCATTTCGCACTCACCAAGGGCACTATGAGTTTCGAGTTATGCCGTTTGGCTTGACAAACGCTCCTGCCACGTTTCAAGCCCTTATGAACCATATCTTTGCCAGGTATTTGAGGAGGTTTGTGCTGGTTTTTTTTGACGATATATTGGTTTATAGTAAGTCTGCTGCTGAGCATTATAATCATCTCTCCACTGTCTTGGGTGTGCTGCGAGAGAATAACTTGTATGCCAAGGAGTCGAAGTGTACTTTTGGCCAGCCTACTGTGGAGTATCTTGGGCATATTATTGACAAAGATGGGGTTTCCACAGACAAGGGAAAGGTGGCTGCAATGTCGGAGTGGCCTCGTCCAACGTCAGTGAAGGCTTTGAGGGGATTTTTGGGCCTAACGGGATATTATAGAAAGTTCATCAAAAACTATGGCATCATTAGTCGTCCTTTGACGCTTTTACTTACTAAGAATGGGTTTCACTGGACGGCAGCTGCAGAGGAAGCGTTCGTGGCTTTAAAACGAGCAATGGTGACTGCTCCCATTCTGTCATTACCCGATTTTTCCTTACCTTTTACACTGGAAACTGATGCGTGTGGTACTGGAGTGGGGGCTGTCCTGTCACAGGGAGGAAGACCTCTTGCGTATTTTAGCAAAGCTTTGGGCATTCGTAATCAAGGGTTGAGTACATACGAGAAGGAGTACCTCGCTGTTTTGCTCGCTGTGGATCATTAGAGACACTATTTAGAGGGGAGGCAGTTTACTATTGTCACTGACCATGAAAGTCTCAAATTCTTACTCGGCCAAAAGGTGCACACAGCAATACAAAAAAAGGGTTTGGTAAAACTGATGGGTTTGGATTTCCAAATCAAGTATCGTCGCGGCAAATACAATGGGGCAGCTGATGCCTTGTCTCGTGTTTTCGATGATGAGATGGAGACAGGTGCGTGTAGTGCTTTGACAGCAGTGCTGCCCGAGTGGCTAGTGGAGATTGAGCATACATATGAAAATGATCAAGACATTGCTGAGTTGATAGCTGCAGCAGCAGTGACTTCCCAAGGCCCTTCCCTTTGGTCCTTCTCTTCAGGAATTCTCCGCTACAGGGGAGCAATTGTAGTCGGATCTAATGGCTTCATGCGTGGGAAGCTATTGCACCTTTTTCATTCCTCGCCAGTGGGGGGACACTCGGGAACTCAGGTGACTTACCAACGCTTGAAGAACCATTTCTACTGGCCTGGTATGAAATCAGCAGTCAAAAAGTGGGTGCTGGAATGTGAAGTGTGCCAAAGGTGTAAGGCTGAAATTGTGCCATCTCCGGGCTTATTGCAACCCTTGCCAATTCCCACTCAAGCTTGGAGGGATATAAGCATGGACTTCGTCGAGGGGCTGCCTCTCTCCCAGGGTAAACAAGTCATGCTGGTAGTGGTGGATCGCTTTACTAAAATGGCGCACTTCTTTGGGGTAAAGCACCCTTACACAGCTGCCGACATTGCTCAGGTCTTCTTCGACGGGGTCTTTAAATATCATGGAATGCCTTCTACGATTGTGTGCGACAGGGATGCCACCTTTACTAGCAATTTCTGGACTGAGTTCTTTCGTCTTCAACGCACAGACCTCCATTACTCCACGGCTTATCACCCACAGACGGATGGACAGACGGAACGTGTTAACAGGTGCCTTGAAGATTACTTGCGTTGTATGACGTTTCACAGGCCTGCAGATTGGTTCTCATGGCTCACGCTGGCAGAGTGGTGCTATAATACACACTATCACATCAGCATTCAGATGACGCCCTTTGAAGCCTTGTATGGCTTTCCACCCACCTTCTTCGGCCTGGCTCAAGACTGCTCCACTGCAGTAGGGGCAGTGGAAGAAAGGGTTATACAGCAGCAGCATTTAGTCCAGTTTCTCACCCACAGCATCACTAAGGCGCAGAATCGGCAGAAGCAGTATGCAGATCAACGCCGTTCTGAGAGGATTTTGCGACCAGCAGATTGGGTGTACCTTAAGTTGCAGCCTTACCGTCAAGGTACTGTGGTGGGAAGACAGGGGAATAAGTTGGGAGCTCGCTATTTCGGGCCATATCAGGTCTTGGAGAAGATAGGAAACGTGGCATATAAGTTGGCTCTGCCCCAAGGCTCTAAGGTGCATCCTGTCTTCCACGTTTCCCAGCTGAAGTTGTGTCGTACTGTGGTGCCTCCTGCTGCCACTCAGCTCCCTGAGTCGGACATTAGAGGGTCCCTGAAGCTCGCTCCTTCTCAAATTCTGGCTCGACGCTTCGTGAACAAGAGTAACAGAGCTGTTACCCAATTGCTTGTTCAGTGGACCCATCAACCACCAGAAGAAGCAACTTGGGAGGACTTGGTTACTTTTCAAAGGGAGTTTCCCTCGTTTCCAGCTTGATTTTTGGCAGCTTGAGGACAAGCTGGAGCTGAAGAGGGGGGGTTTTGTAACAACCCAGGCCAGCTGGCATTAGTATAAATAAGAGAGTCTCACCTGGCGTGTACTATTTTTTTGGACAAATCTGTAAATGAGATAGCTACTTTCCCAGTTTAGTTCTCAATAAAGCTCTCTTTTCCTCTCCTTTTCTCTATCTCTTCTGTTCCATTCCCCTCTACCTCCATTTCGCCAGAAATCCATCAACAGCGGACCTTACAGGACTCTAACAGATGGTGGCAGTCTCGCCGCCTCTCCCTGCAAGACGTGTAGAGAATCC